CCCACTGTGAGGGTGGGGAACAAACGAGGCAAAATTCCGGAAGTCTTCCTCCAAGGGTCCCAATTCGAGGCTTCTGGAAAATTATCTGTTTTTGTTGTTGGTTTTTGTGCTTTGATGTTGTTGGTATTTCCGGTTTGGCATGCTTTCCATATAGCTGTTCGGATAGTCTTGACTCGTGCAAAAATCCACTCAACAAGCCTAGCTCGATTAGCTTGCCAACTCCAGCACCTGTCATGCAAAAATAAGAGTTATCTGAGAGGCAAGAAGGTGGATCCATGGTGGGGTACCATATACATATAAATATACATATATATATATATAGATATAAAGCTTTGAAATTTGAGGCCCCAGAAAGTCTAGCAAATCAAGAAATTGAGGGGCCCAATTTCTTGAAATGGATTTGGTGGTTTCCCTACATAGGGGCCCCAACTTAGCCCAAAATACTTTAATCTGTACTCAAATTGTACCCGGAATTGTGGAAAATCCCCATTTGAGGCCTGCTTCACAACTCCAAGGATTTATGAATTGCCTGTGATTTGACAACACGCCGGGATGCATGAAAAGAGTTTTTCCGTCCCTGCGGTCCCCTTGAGATTTTGGGGAAATAGAAGCCCCACTGCGCCATGTGATCGTTAGAAGCATAACTACAATACAGCAACAATACTTCAGGACAGGCAGCGCTTGTCTAACTCCGCAATTCAGCGTGCTCTGCACTTTTTTTGTGAGCCAGCAAGAAGGAACAAGGCTGGGTAGATTTGTGCTCCTCGATAAGACACAAGCTTGTGCCTGTAGCCCTGTAAAACCGAGTAGCATGTTCCTGGACATCGCTCGCGACATCGACCGCCCGCTGGCATGACCTCAGTCACACGGCGCTGTATCTGCCTCAGTCCTACTGCGTACTTGATGCGGAAAAGCAGCTACCGAACGCCGCTGCTCCCATGGACTTTTTCCGACCGTCACCTTCTGAAACTTCGCACTCCATGTCTTAGGTTTGCCCGTGTAAGATCATGTGAAGACTGCACGCGTCAGAAACCATCAATACATCTGCATTCCACGCCTGCCACGCTGGTCATCTGCCTTCTCGCATCCTCATCTGTAATACCCAGCTGCTCTTGGGCACGAGGCAAGAAGGTCTTGAAGATTGCCTCCACGATTTCCGGGCCTTTCGAATAAAGGCCTTGAGATCTGAGCACGGCCTGAAGCGCATTGGCCCAACTGCCAAAGGACAGGGCAGGAGGATTGGAGTTTGCCTCTTGGAAAAGCTTGAAAATCTTTCCGGCCAGCACCCAGGGAATCTTCCTTGGTGTGGCTCCCATAAGCATGCAACAAAAGTTGCTGAAAGTTCACAATGAGAAGATCTAATTCAAGAAATGTCTTCATCATGACTTGCGACCGAGGCGTCATCTTTTCTGCGGTCTTATGATCCCATGAATCATCTGGGCCAACGAGATCGCAGTGAATCAGGAAGCGAAACCAAGTCCACCTGTCAGGCCATGTTGGAGCTTGCTGTCAAACACTGTTCCGAAAAACAAGATTAAACCCAAGAAGTGCCAAATTCTCCTGAAAAGGGGACCTGCGCTGCACAAATCTAGGAAACAGCCCAATGCGCGTAATGATGAAATTGGATGCGTGTACTCCAGGCTCAGATGAATTGTCTAGACTCCTAGTATCCCCCTTGATAGCCCCTATAATACTCCCCTATATAACCCCCTTTGAGGCCTTTAAAGAGTTTAGACCCTGAACCCTTAACCCCAAACCCTATATTTTACCCCTGGCCATGGAATCCTTCAAGTTTGGCGTTTTCATGGTGCTCAAGCCACCAGCATGCCGCCTTCTTCATATTGGGATCATGGAGAATCACATGGAAAAGAACATGGAGAATGAAACGGAAACCCTAGGTCCCTTTCAAGCGGTATATAGGGATAATGGGTTCCCCTACTACCCGTCTCACTGGCTCTCCATTAAAAAGGCAGGAGGACTTAGTAACAATCCAAAAGAAAATGTAGACGTCTAACTAACTTAGGGCTTAGGGTTTAGAATTCAGGGCCTGGGGGTTTAGGGCCAGGGAGACGTTGACGTACGAACCTCCTTACAACATCCCCCTGACCCTTGAAGTAGCGGCTCTGTAGAGAAGGGAGGAAAAGATCCCGGCCTTTGGGCCTAAACCCTAATACATTTGGCGTAGGATTTAGGGTTTAGGGTTTGGGGCTTAAGGAAAAACAGAAATCAGGAGGCAAGTGCCGCAAGACTCTGGGGATCAGGGGCTACCCTGAAACCTTTATACCCTAGACCCTAAACCCGGAGCTCATCTAAGTGGCCCTTCGGGCCCAGCATTCAATACGGGTCCTAAGCGATCCCATTGAAGGGGAGATAGGGGGGCTGGGCTACAGTCTATTTTCCAGTATAAAGAATAGAGAAACGAATGACAGATTTAATTGGAGATAAGAAGGATACTACTGTAAGTTTCGAGTTAAGGGTGTCGGGATACAGATAAAATTTCCCACGTACTTGATAGGTTATATAGAGTTCAGCGCTGGAATGATGCAAAAAGCAAATGAACGTTAACATGGGCAGTGAATTCAAAACTGGGGTTATACAGCGGATTATAGCGATTAACATTTCCCATATGTTTAATGGACATGGGTCCTTATTGGGGGAATATATTAGGGACGATCCTGAACTACCAAAGAGAGCCTATGTCTACCCCTAATGCACCCCTGACAGTAGCGTATATGCGGATTAATTTTACAGGAAGATAAAGGGCTGCATAGCGTTTAAGACCAGCAAACAATGATCATATATACATTTTGCGGTCCTTCATCCATTATCACAAGGAGATACAATGTTACATACAGACCTTCATCTCCCTGGATTTTGGAAGAAAGGAAGAATGCAACAGATGGCTTTTCAGCTATACTGCTTCTATTGTGACAAAGAGCGTATAACGAGGCAAGCATTTTCCGAAACAGTGGTCTAGGAGAATAATCCGTAGAGACTTTAGGATCACTTGGTTGGCTTGCTTTTCCCTAATTACATAGGATAAGCAATCAAAGCAACGTCTCGATAGACCAAGGACTTAACCAGACCCCCTACAGGATCCAACAACTGAATTCCTCAGCAATGTCCCCCTTGCTGCTGTCTTGGGGAAACTGGGGTTTTATCGGGACGCTTCATTTTTGAAAGGATCCCGTAGGAGGTCTGCTTAAGCCCTAAAAACTAAATCCTGGGCATGAAAAGGTCCCGCCGGCCTTCGCATCGAAGTTTGGGTTCTCAAACTCCGCATAACTCACCTGAGATTTTTCCCCACTTTCTTCTTTACTGGATAGACATACTATGAGACGCTCGAGTTGATTTCAAAATGAACCTTGTTTTAGACTTGAGTAACCTTTTTGGTGGTAAAACCGAGTAAGATTATATTCCTTGTATAGGAATACTACAGCCAAAACGAGGATGCAATTTTGCTCTATATTGGGTACAGTATCCCCAAAAAACTTCTACTCACTTGGGCTTTTCCTGCCTAGCCTTGTTCATGCCTCTAGGGTCCCAAGCCTCCAAGCCTAAAGCCTAAACCCCAAACCCAAAACCCTAACTAGGGTGCAGCTTCTAGGGTTGTTGGGTTTCCTACGACTTGTGTTTCTTGGCTGCCCGCAGCTTTCAGTTGTTGAGGTCAAGGGTGTTGGGGTAACAAGCTTAGGGTGAGCTTTTAAGAATGCACTTCGAGACGGTAAAAGCCTGAACAGTTAGGTCCTGAACATCTATAATAAATCAGGTCCTATAGCTATCATGTGACTTTAAAAGGGTCCGGTTCCTAGGACAACTAAGAAATTTCTTTTATGGTCGTTCCCATAAACAAGGGGACCCCGATATAGAGCCCAAGACACTACATCCCTTATGATAACGACCCCCAAAAATGTACTCCTAATTTTGGGAAACCCCGAAACCCTAATCCCTAAACCCCATAAAACCTATGAACCCTGTAAACCCTATACACACCATAAACCCTATACACACCATAAACCCTAAAAACCCCTTTTTGTAGCTAACTTAGAATGGCTGCAAGCTGAGCTGCTTCGTCCATGTCGGCTGCTGGGCTCGAATGGCTCAAGAAGTTGTGAATCAGGGGCTAAGGGCTTAGTATAGGGTTTAGCGTCTAGGGTTTGGGGTTCAGGGTCTAGGGTTTAGGGTTCAGGGTCTAGGGTTTAGAGTTTAGGGTCTAGGGTTTAGGGTCTATTAGGGTCTAAGGTTTAGGGATTAGGGTTCCGGGTTCTCAAGAATGGAAAATCCGATGGACATGAAACATGGGAAATGAAGTTGGGTCCCTTGTGGGGGGGGGGCCTCATAATGACCCGTTATAATGTTTTGGCGTGTCTTTGGGGGCGCTCTTTTTATGCAAGCTATCATTTGGAGTCTAAGGCTAACGAGGGGCTCTTGTCTGGTGATCTATATTAAGATCGCAGTTGTTTTTTTGGTTGGGGGGTTGGTAGAAATTGACCCTCAAACCCTAAACCCCAGTACAAAGGGATGGCTCTTTTTTGGAAGCTCCCTACTAGACCTTTAGCTAACCCGCAAGCCTATGTAAACCATCTGAGCCATAGCTTAAACTACTAGTATCCCCCTTGGTAACCCCTAGAATGCTTCCCTATATAATCCCCTACATAACCAACCCTAAACCTTAAACCCTAAACCCTAAACCCTGAACCCCAACCCCCTTTATGGAGTTTAGACTATAACTCATCGGAGTCCAAGACTGGCAAGTATGGCGTGCATCTGAGATTCTTTCCCTGTGTGTGTGTGAAGTTTGGAATGTAAGCTTTGGATGTGTGAGGCTTTCCCATAATTAGGGGTACCTTTTCGGGGTCCCTATAGTATATAAGGAATATCGTATATTGGGATCTATATCGGTGTCGCACGATTTTGGGAGACTATCCATTTTTTTCTTGGGGCAGTTGTATGCGTTAGGATCTGAAGGTCCTGCGGGACTGGGACCAATAAATTGCTTTTGCGGTCTCCGCATATGGATGTTGGGTGTTGGGTTTGATGAACATGAGGTATTGAACATCCTACGGGGAAGCTGTAGGGTGATGAGAAAATTCGCCATAAAGGGCTAACCGTGTCGGGACTGTGGTGATGGTGATAAACGCCACAGCATGTTTCAGCAAATCTCCTAACTACCCTGGGTCCTTCCGGAACAGAACACATGAAATAAAAGCACTAAACCGTAAACCATGGACCCGAAACCTTAAATCCTAAACCCTACATCCTAAACCCTAACTCCTAAACTTTAAATCCTAAACCCTGAATCCTAAGCTCTAAATTCCTAAATCCTAAACCCTATGAAACCTAAGCCCTAAACCCTACGAGTTTCTCGGCCCGAGCTAAGGGTCCAAGCACCCCAAAGGGTCCAAGTACCACAAGCATACCCTACAATAAGGGCTTTGGGCTTCTGATTTAGGATTTAGGGTTTAGGCCGCTAAGGGTCAAAGTACCCAATAATTGAGTACTTGGGATTTGGGTAATAGCAATAGTACAGGCTTTTAAACCACCAGGGAGTGCTTGGACCTTTAGGGCACCTGTAAACTGTACCGAGGTGATGGTAGGGGCCTCCTCTCAAGATTATGTTATGTAGCTGGATTCCTGTACTGAAGTCATCTACAGCTGATTCATTTACAGGCAATTCCCATGGTACTTCCATACTACAGGGCCGTTAAAGACAGGGAACCTCAAGAATATAGTAGGAGTATAACAGGAATATATTCCTACTATATCTAACCCTCGGAATTTTCCCCTAAACCCTAAACCCATACCTACCGGGATCCTTGTAGTACTACTATAATCCTACAGTGTTCTTGGGGCTCCTTGCTTAGGGGTTCCAGTAAAACCCTTGTATATGGGTCATTCTCAAAAAGCTGGGCCCCTGTTGGATATAGATTGTATTGCGGCACCTAATTCTTTAGTGGCACCAAAATGGGACCCTAATTTTGGGAAACTACTCATATAAGCATGAAAAAAACTTCCATAAGACCCCCAGAAGTTATGGGAGTTACATGGAAGGTCTATGGAAGACTGACAACCTGCATAATGGGTCCCTAAGACCCTCCCTTAGTATCAAAACCCCTCCATGGCTCTGAAATTCTTATTCGCACAGATAATAGTACATCTGATATTAGGGGGTGCCTGGTTTTTACACTTTTGGATGTTCTTATTCTGGGACCCTTTTTTGCTCGGGGGAATGCCTGTAGGGATTACCAAGAAATTGTGTTTGTTTTTGGTGGGGTGTGAGGAAGGGTCAAGTCCCCATA